TCTTGTAAGCCCTTTATTTGTAGTAACTTGTTTAACTCTCAACAACAGCTCTTTGATGTGGAAACTGTTATTATCCCCATTTTACAAATGGGCAGACTGAGGTTCAAAGTGGCTTGCCCAGGTCACACAAATTATAAGTAACAGAGCTGGGACTTGAATGCAGGTAGGCTGGTTCCAGAGGCTTGTTCTGGAATGAGAAGGGGACCATGGATCAGGATGACTGGGGTGTCCTGCAGTCACCAGGAAGGAAGGACACGGTGGCTGGACTTGGCTCATGGTGCAATACACAGTCACAGTAGAACTCTGAGCATTGCAGTCAGGTCATGGGAGAGGTCATCAGCAGTGTCTGCATCAGAGGAAGGTGGGAAGGCCATGAGGTAAAGGGCCCCGTATTTTAAATAAGAGAAGAGAAGCCTGTACTAGGTAATAGCAGTCAGATTTCATGAGAAGGGGAAGATGCCTGTTGTCCCCTAGGTTTGTGAATCTATGTGCTGGTGTCATTCCTGAACACGCTCTAGATCTGATGATCTGAGAGGACTCAAAAAAGAACTTTGGCTAAAGTTAGAAGTAAGGCAGAAATAATCGTCCAATTCATATGCTGTGATTTATTTATTTGTCTTCTTTTAGATGGCCTTTTATTTCAGGGGCTAGTTTTTAGCTTAGTTAGAAGCTGTTCTTCATTTGGGTGGTGTCATAGGTTGGCTTCTTGGGAAGCTGACTCTGAGATGTCAGTTACTGTACTAAGACTTTTGTTAGGGAGTGCTCTTGGGATCCGCATCTATGGCCAGGAAGCAGGATTGGGCAGAGGGAGAAGTTGAGCTGCACTGTAGTCCCAACAAGGCTTCAGCCTTGTGCACAGGGAACTTTGAAGCAGGAATCGGCCTTCACTGTTGTCCCAGGTTGGGGAGGTAGGACAGTGGAGCTGGGGCTTTATATGTCCTCCCCACACCCCGCTTTTTTTTGATCACATGGCATGTGGGATCTTAGTTCCCTTACCAGGGATTGACCCTGCTTCCCCTGCATTGGAAGCACAGTGTCTTAACCACTGGACTACCAGGAAAGTCCCCAAAAGTCAGTTCTTGCTGGTTCTCTCTATTTTTGGCCACAGGGCTGGCTGAATCTCAGTTCCCCAGTCATGTATTGAATCCAGGCTACAGCAGGGAAGTCCAGAATCCTAACTACCCCCTCCTCTCCATCAGGCATTGGATGCTGCTGCCCTGACCCTGTTCTGCCTGGCAGGAGGCATGCCCCTGGGCAGGTGTTCTGGTTACCCTCAGAGAGGGATGACAGCTGCAGGCTTTCTTCTGGCAGTAGTCCAGCAGCCAGCACAAGTCTTTCATTCCTGAAGAGAGATCTGGTTTTGAGTATCTCAGTGCACATCTCAGGTAGCAAATTATAAAATTTGAGAATCTTAAAAAAAAAAAAAAATTCCCATCATCAAAGCAGAGAAAGTTGACTTGGGCAAAAAATCAAAACATTTTATTATCTGCATCCTTGATGAGAACTGAATCAGAGAACTTCCATATCCTCAGATTTCAATTTAGTAAAGGTTATGTGCTTTAATTTCTGTGTCTGTTGTTACATTTGATTATAGATTTGACTTTGAAATGTAGTGCCAAATATACAGACACAAAATAATATGATTAGAAATAATTTAGAGATAAAATGGACCTGACTTTTAAAGCAATCATATTTTAGTACACAGTTTGCCTCCATTAAGGTGTGTGTTCTCAGTCGTGTCTGACTCTTGGCGACCCCGCCAACTGTAGCCCTCCAGGCTTGTCTGTCCATGGGATTTCCTAGGCTAGAATACTGGAGTGGTTTGCCACTCAGGGATCGAACCTGTGTCTTCTGCACATTGGAAGGCAGATTCTTTACCACTGAGCTACGTGGGAAACACTGCCTGCATTAAACCAGTGGCTTTTCTTAAAAGCAGCATGATGTATAAAAGTATGCTATAATAAAGGAGATAAAAAGTATGGTATAATAAAGGAGGTATAGGAGTAACCTGTATGCTAATCACAGCTCTGTCATTTCCTAGCTATGAAAACTTGGATCCTCCACTTAACCTTTTAGACATGCAATTTTTTCATCTATAAAATGGGAGAGAGAATACTTAGCCTGGCTAATTCAGTGTTGTTGTATCAAATTGAAATAAATTACGTAAAAATACTCTCTAAATACTTAAGTCAGAAAAGAAAGGAAAAAAGAAAGAGGGACTTCCTTGGTTTTACAATGGATAAGAAGATCTGGCAAGATTCCAAATGCTGTGGAGCACCTGAGCCCGTGCTCCCCAACCACTGAGCCTGCGCTCCAGAGCCTGTGCTGCACATCAAGAGACGCCTCTGACAGAAGGCTGTGCACTGCACAGTGAAGGGAGCCCAGCTCAGAGCAGTCAGAGAAATCCACATGCAGCAGCAAAGACCCCGCGCCACCAAGTAGAAATACATTTATTACAAGAAAAGAGAAAGAAACAGGAAGAAGAACCTAGAGGATTTCAGAGACTATCTAGTTGAAAGGCTTCATGTTTCAGATGAGAAAAGGGAACCCCAGCGGTCAAGAGACTATATTCAGTAATTGGTTCAGTTCAGTCGCTCAGTTGTGTCCGACTCTCTGCAACTCCATGGACTGCAGCATGCTAGGCTTCCCTGTCCATCACCAACTCCTGGAGCTTACTCAAACTCATGTCCATCGAGTCGGTGATGCCATCCAACCCTCATCCTCTGTCGTCCCCTTCTCCTCTTGCCTTCAATCTTTCCCAGCATCAGGGTCTTTTCAAATGAGTCTGTTATTTGCATGAGGTGGCCAAAGTACTGGAGTTTCAGCTACAGCATCAGTCCTTCCAATGAGTATTCAGGACTGATTCCTTTAAGATTGACTGGTTTGATCACCCTGCAGTCCAAGGGGTTCTCAAGAGTCTTCTCCAACACCACAGTTCAAAAGAATCAATTCTTCAAGCACTCAGCTTTCTTAAAGATCCAACTCTCAGATCCATACATGACTACTGAAAAAAACCATAGGTTTGACTAGAGGGACCTTTCTTGGCAAAGTAATGTCTCTTTTTAAAAAAACTATTTAGGTTGGTCATAGCTTTTCTTCTGAGGAGCAAGTGTCTTCTAATTTCACGGCTGCAGTCACCATCTGCACTGACTTTGGAGCCCCAAAATATAAAGTCTCTCACTGTTTCCATTGTTTCCCCATCTATTTGCCATGAAGTGATGGGACCACATNTCCTCTATTTCTTTGCACTGATCACTGAGGAAGGCTTTCTTATCTCTTCTTGCTATTCTTTGGAACTCTGCATTCAGATGGGTATATCTTTCCTTTTCTCCTTTGCCTTTAGCATCTCTTCTTTTCTCAGCTGTTTGTAAAGCCTCCTCAGACAGCCATTTTGCCTTTTTGCATCTCTTTTTCTTGGGGAAGTCTGTACAATGTCACGAACCTCCATCCATCGTTCTTCAGGCACTCTGTCTATCAGATCTAATCCTGAATCCATTTGTCATTTTCACTGTCATAAGGGATTTGATTTAGGTCATACCTGAGTGGTCTGAAGTGGTTTTCCCCACTTTCTTCAATTTAAATCTGAATTTGGCAATAAGAAGTTTATGATCTGAGCCCCAGTCAGCTCCCAACCTTGTTTTTGCTGACTGTATAAAGCGTCTCCATCTTTGCCTGCAAAGAATATAATCAATCTGATTTTGATATTGACCATCTGGTGATGTCCGTGTGTAGAGTTGTCTCTTGTGTTGTTGGAAGAGTGTGTTTGCTATGACCAGTGAGTTCTCTTGGCCAAACTCTGTTAGCCTTTGCCTGCTTCATTTTGTACTTCAAGGCAAACTTGCCTGTTACTCCAGGTATCTCTTGATTTCCTACTTTTGCATATTCAGTTATATGAATAATTTAATAAAGGAAAAATATACTTGCATTGAACGGATGTGCTTGCATTTATCTAAGAAAGACAGGATTTGACTAAAGCATTCTTCATCAGTTTGGGCTTGGAAAGCATAATTGAGAGTAACTGTGCAAGTGCGGGTTGGTAACTGGATCACACCATCCCAGAGTCCTTGTGCTGGCGCTTGTTTTGGAGTGTGTCAGCCCCTCCTGTGAACCTGCTGCCTGTCTCACCTCCTCTCTCAACCCCACCACACACACCTTTTCTTTCCCTTTTCCTTTGGGCAAGAGTGAAAGTGAAGTTGCTCAGTCATGTCCAACTTTGCAACCCTATGGACTGTGGCCCACCAGGTTCCTCTGTCCATGGGATTTTCCAAGGAATAATACTGGAGTGGGTTGCCATTTCCTTCTCTAGGGGGTCTTCCCGACCCAGTGATTGAGATTCTCTTGAGGTGATCTAAGCCCACTTCTGGTCCAGAACCAGCTGTGTGATCTTACACATGTTTCTTTACTTTAGTTCCTCATGTAAAACTGGGATGATAATACTTGTCCCGCTGATCTGTCATACTTGTTTCAAGGATCAAACGAAGTAATGTTTGTGAAAACACCTTAAAAAGCACAAACTGCCCTCCAAATGCTGAGTATTATTACCCTATTACTGCTCCTTTTCTTCCCTCCCTTGCCTCCAGCTTTCTGGCTTCCTGCCAGGATTGTCTGACAAGTGACACCAATTATTTGCTGAGAAGCTTTCTCTGAACCGTGAAATGTCATTTGGGAAATTGTTCTTGGACTGGTAGGAACTAATTAGATTATTGGTAGTCACAGCGGGAAATTTTTTTTTTTTTAAATGAAGGACATTGCCTTAGAAATAAATGTTTTTGTTTCAAATTGATTAAACAAGTGTTGGCCTGCAGTTTAGCAAAAAACATTTGAAGAAGATGGTGGGAGGGTGTGAAATCTGAGAGGAGTTTGGATCTCTTGAATCCCTTGACCTTGAGATCTTAGCACAGAGGGTCCCGGCTCCAGATGCTCCATCAGCTGGGACTGCTCTTCCCTTTCCCTGGCATTTCTCTGTCCCCTCCTGATGGACCTACCTCTCTTCTCCTCAGGCTTCCTGGCGTTGGGAAGGGGTGCGGTGCAAACTTATGAACCGGTAGTCAAAGTTCCTGAGAATAGACGTGAGTTGGGAGGGGCTGTGGGGGATGGTGGGGGCTGGGGTGAGAGGGAGGTGAGCAGGGGCAGAGCTTTGGGGAACATCGAACCCACGTGGTGCTTTGGGTCCGTTTACTGCTGCTCCTTCCTCCCACTCACTTGGATTCTGTCTGCAGCTGCCAAGCTGTCCTGCTCCTACTCGGGCTTCTCCTCTCCCCGTGTGGAGTGGAAGTTTACCCATGGGGATATCAGAGGTCTCGTTTGCTATAACAACAAAATCACAGGTGAGTCGCTCCATCTCCTTGCTGACCGCCTACTTGTAGACGGATTCGTGGTGCTTGGATTCCAGGGGAGGGGCCCACCTTGGGGCTCAAGTCTCCAGGGCCTTCCCATCGCCCTTGCTGGGGGAGGAAGGGAGCCCCTGTGCCTTGGGTACTACCGTCACCAGCTTCTCTCAGCTCTCCAGCTCTCTCTGCCCCTGCTTCCTCTCTCCTGGCAGCTTCCTATGAGAACCGAGTCACCTTCTCGGATAGTGGCATCACCTTCCATTCTGTGACGCGGAAAGACACGGGGATGTATACCTGTATGGTCTCTGACGAAGGCGGCAACACCTATGGGGAGGTCACCGTCCAGCTCATCGTGCTCGGTACGTGCCACAGGTCTGTGCGGGTTTGCAGCGGTTGCTTCCCTAAGCCCTTAGCAGGCTCCGCTAAGCTTCAGAGCTCACCAATAGTGAGCATGCTCGTGGCAGGTGTGGGTGGGACAGGGAGGAGGGTATTCACAGTCCTGGTGCTGCCAGAGAATGATAAGCAGGGGGAAACTAAGGGCGCAGGAAGGGAGGAAGGCCAGAGCTGATGGACGGGGGTGTCATGCTTCTGCCTTCAGGCCGCCCTCCCACCCTTGTGACCAGTCCCTTCTCTCCCTCCCCAGTGCCTCCGTCCAAGCCTACGATCAATGTCCCCTCTTCTGTTACCATTGGAACCCGAGCAGTGCTGACCTGCTCAGAGAAAGACGGCTCCCCACCGTCTGAATACAAGTGGTTCAAGGATGGGGTAGAGATGCCCTTGGAACCCAAGAGCAACCGAGCCTTCAGCAACTCTTCCTATACCCTGAACCCCAAGACAGGGGAGTTGGTACGGATGTGTGTGTGTTAGCTGCTCAGTCGTGTCCGACTCTTTGCGCCCCATGGACTGTAGCCTGCCAGGCTCCTTTGTCCATGGAATTCTCCAGGCAAGAATACTGGAGTGGATTGCCATTTCCCTCTCCAGGGGATCTTCCCCACCCAGGGATCAAACCTTGGTCTCCTGCATTGCAGGCAGTGCAGATGGGGTTGGGGTAAAAGTTGTGTGTGATGGGGTGCAGGGTTATAGAAGCTCTGAAGGTGGGAAAAAGCAAGCAACAAGGTAACTTTGGCATGAGGGTCAGGAGACATAAAAGAGAAGTAAGTGACTTCTTCAAGCAGGAAGCCAATTCGTCTTCTGCCCTCTAGACCTTTGATCCCGTGTCAGCCTCTGATACTGGAGATTTCACTTGTGAGGCACAGAATGGCTATGAGTCACCCATGAGGTCGGACGTTGTGCACATGGATGCTGGTGAGTGAGGGTGTGGCTGGGGCTTGAGCTCGGATCTGGGTGGGGATTGGGGTCTGCTTTCCATCCTGGTCTTGGTGACGCTGTCAGTGCAGTGAAGGCGTATTCAGGTGCCTGACCTCTCTCTTGTGTCCCATAGTGGAGCTCAATGTCGGGGGCATCGTGGCAGCTGTCCTTGTAACACTCATTCTCCTGGGAGCCTTGATTTTTGGCATCTGGTTCACCTATAGCCGAGGCTACTTCGACAGTAAGTATTTGCCCTCAAAGGTGGATCCTCCCTGTTTCAGGGCCTGGTTCTTGAGTGCCAACCTGGTACTGAGCCTTTGTGTGCTGGGCTACCTCCCAGGAAGCATGGGTCCCCATGTCTCAGGGCCACACACTGGGTTCCCCATTTTCCTGTGCCATGCTGTCTTCTACTCTGCTGACACTCATGGTCCCATTTCTTGTCTTTCAGGAGCAAAGAAAGGGTGCGTGAGCTGCTGTCCAGGGGCTCTCTGAGGTTGAGGTCATGGTTGTGTATGGTTTGAAGCTGAGATGTGTCCAGGGGAAGAGGTTGGAAGGGGGAGGCAACCAGCCTGGTAGGGAGAACATCTGGATTTCTACCACTGTCCACTGCGGTCCCGCGCTTGTCCTTTCTTCCTCCACCCAAACCTCCCCACCGAGAGCTCCGTGCGCCCGTGCAGTTCTTAGTCCTGGCCTCTAATGTTAGTGAGCGGAGGTTAAGGAGAGGGGCTGGGACTGAGTGTCTCTATCTTCTGCCTTGTCTTAGGACCTCCAGTAAGAAGGTCATTTACAGCCAGCCCAGTGCTCGAAGTGAAGTGAGTATGCCTGCCCTGGGTGGGGAGGGCCCCTTGGCTGGAGTCGGGGGTTTCCAGCCTGTGTTTGCATGTATTCTGGGGATTATCTAGCAGTTGAAGAAGACTATTAGAGAGCTGACTTGGATGTTTTATTTCTCCAGGGGGAGTTCAGGCAGACCTCGTCCTTCTTGGTGTGACCCTGGTCCGGCTTCTCTTCCTGTCCTCAGTGCTTGCCTTACTCAGGTGCTACCAGACTCTGGCCCCTGATGTCTATAGTTTCACAGGATGCCTTATTTGTCTTTGAACCCCATCAGGGGCCCCCACTTTTATCTTAGGTTGTGTTTTGTAATAATTTCAGCCATGTGCACCTTCCTGCCTCCCTTCCTTTCCCACCACTGCTGAGTGGCCTGGGACTTGTTTAAAGCCTTCTTGTTCCAGCCCTACAAGGGATCAGAGAGAAGTCCTGACTGATGCCTGCTGACCACAAGTAGACCACAAGAGCAGTGGGGTCTTCACTGCCCCCTGCATGTAGTGGTTCTCAGATGGGGCTCTGGAGCCTGGCTTCTTGACTCTTCCCTGCCATGCTGAGGACGGGTAACAGCTGTCCTAGAGTCGGGGCTGGAGACTGGGAGCAGCTGAAATGGTTGTTTGGAAACAAGGTCAAGTTCTTCCACCTCTGCAGCCCACTTCCTTCTGTCTTCCATGGGAAGTGCCGCTGGGATCCTCCTGCACCATCCTCTTCCCGAACACAAGCAGACTGACAGCTACGTCTGTAGGGAAAACAAGAACTTTTTTTTGTGGGAAGCCTAGTAAACTTTCAGAACACACGGAGAGAAGAGTTTTTAAACCACTGATCTACAGAAATGAAAGCTGGAGTGGGTAGCTCAAGCTATCACCCTTCTCTTGGTTGGAACAACTCGACCTGCCCTTATAAGATATGTCTGCAGGGTTATGGAAATTTGTGTAGCAGTCAGTTCTGCTGAGCATGTGAGTGTGTGTGTGTTTGTGATCTTAGCTCTATGTTGAACTCGAGTGTTCCAGAGTCCTCTTGGGGGAGGAGGAGAGGCCCTGGGTGAAGGGATGCTGGGCTCTGGGTTCTACTTGATCTGACTCATCCAGTGAAAGAAGCCCGCCCTCCCACCTCTGCCAACCCAGATGCACTAGTAGACTTCCCAGAGGCTATAGGAAAAGCTGCTCCAGAGGCTGAGGCAGGATTTCTCAAATCCTTTGGAGAACCACTTCTTTAGTAATAGTTTGAAGTCTACCCGGAGAAGGCAATGGCACCCCACTCCAGTACTCTTGCCTGGAAAATCCCATGGACGGAGGAGCCTGGTGGGCTGCAGTCCATGGGGTCAGAAAAAGCAAGCAACAAGGTAACTTTGGCATGAGGGTCAGGAGACATAAAAGAGAAGTAAGTGACTTCTTCAAGCAGGAAGCCAATTCATCTTCTGCCCTCTAGACCTTTGATCCCGTGTCAGCCTCTGATACTGGAGATTTCACTTGTGAGGCACAGAATGGCTATGAGTCACCCATGAGGTCGGACGTTGTGCACATGGATGCTGGTGAGTGAGGGTGTGGCTGGGGCTTGAGCTCGGATCTGGGTGGGGATTGGGGTCTGCTTTCCATCCTGGTCTTGGTGACGCTGTCAGTGCAGTGAAGGCGTATTCAGGTGCCTGACCTCTCTCTTGTGTCCCATAGTGGAGCTCAATGTCGGGGGCATCGTGGCAGCTGTCCTTGTAACACTCATTCTCCTGGGAGCCTTGATTTTTGGCATCTGGTTCACCTATAGCCGAGGCTACTTCGACAGTAAGTATTTGCCCTCAAAGGTGGATCCTCCCTGTTTCAGGGCCTGGTTCTTGAGTGCCAACCTGGTACTGAGCCTTTGTGTGCTGGGCTACCTCCCAGGAAGCATGGGTCCCCATGTCTCAGGGCCACACACTGGGTTCCCCATTTTCCTGTGCCATGCTGTCTTCTACTCTGCTGACACTCATGGTCCCATTTCTTGTCTTTCAGGAGCAAAGAAAGGGTGCGTGAGCTGCTGTCCAGGGGCTCTCTGAGGTTGAGGTCATGGTTGTGTATGGTTTGAAGCTGAGATGTGTCCAGGGGAAGAGGTTGGAAGGGGGAGGCAACCAGCCTGGTGGGGAGAACATCTGGATTTCTACCACTGTCCACTGCGGTCCCGCGCTTGTCCTTTCTTCCTCCACCCAAACCTCCCCACCGAGAGCTCCGTGCGCCCGTGCAGTTCTTAGTCCTGGCCTCTAATGTTAGTGAGCGGAGGTTAAGGAGAGGGGCTGGGACTGAGTGTCTCTATCTTCTGCCTTGTCTTAGGACCTCCAGTAAGAAGGTCATTTACAGCCAGCCCAGTGCTCGAAGTGAAGTGAGTATGCCTGCCCTGGGTGGGGAGGGCCCCTTGGCTGGAGTCGAGGGTTTCCAGCCTGTGTTTGCATGTATTCTGGGGATTATCTAGCAGCTGAAGAAGACTATTAGAGAGCTGACTAGGATGTTTTATTTCTCCAGGGGGAGTTCAGGCAGACCTCGTCCTTCTTGGTGTGACCCTGGTCCGGCTTCTCTCCTGTCCTCAGTGCTTGCCTTACTCAGGTGCTACCAGACTCTGGCCCCTGATGTCTATAGTTTCACAGGATGCCTTATTTGTCTTTGAACCCCATCAGGGGCCCCCACTTTTATCTTAGGTTGTGTTTTGTAATAATTTCAGCCATGTGCACCTTCCTGCCTCCCTTCCTTTCCCACCACTGCTGAGTGGCCTGGGACTTGTTTAAAGCCTTCTTGTCCCAGCCCTACAAGGGATCAGAGAGAAGTCCTGACTGATGCCTGCTGACCACAAGTAGACCACAAGAGCAGTGGGGTCTTCACTGCCCCCTGCATGTAGTGGTTCTCAGATGGGGCTCTGGAGCCTGGCTTCTTGACTCTTCCCTGCCATGCTGAGGACGGGTAACAGCTGTCCTAGAGTCGGGGCTGGAGACTGGGAGCAGCTGAAATGGTTGTTTGGAAACAAGGTCAAGTTCTTCCACCTCTGCAGCCCACTTCCTTCTGTCTTCCATGGGAAGTGCCGCTGGGATCCTCCNCTAACAACAGCCCCTTTGAGTTGGAAAACACCTTATCTGCTTTCATTTTAGAATGTTAAAACTAATTTTTGTAATAAATGTTTATTTTTCACATTGAGTTTGTTTAAATCCTGAAGCTCTAGCTTTAAAGAATTGGGACTCTCCGAATGACTTCAACGTTCAATAATCTTCCCTGTAGTCTTTTATTTAAGATACCAGGGATATCCTTCTACAGAATCTGGTGGTTAGATTTCAGTTTAACTTACCATTGGAGAAGGAAATGGCAACCCACTCCAGTATTCTTGCTTGGAAAATCCCATGGATGGAGGAGCCTGGCAGGCCACAGTCCATGGGGTTGCAAAGAGTTGGACACTTCACTTTAACATACCATTAGACTGTACTTGAATGGAAATGCTTCAAATGAATATAATCTATATTAAAAGGAGGGTTGGGGTTGGAGAACAGGGTGATTCCATAAAGATTAGTGTTTTATACATGGACACAACCTGATTAGAGATAAAATGATTGAACATTAAGGATGTGTTTGTTGTATTAATGTATTAATAGGATTTGCAGATCAGGTGGTGGGGAAAGTGGGAAATGGATTGGTCCATTTCTGCATGCTGGGGCACGGGACAGCTCAGTAAAGGAGATAAATGAAGAAAGTACAACTTGCACTTTAAAAGTTGTCCCTTCCTTGGTACTGACTGTAAAAACCTAGTATGAAATGGAACTTTTCTAAGAAGAAGAATTTGTAATTTTTTTCTTTATTTGGCCACACTGGAGCTTGTGGAATCTTAGTTCCCCAACCGGGGATTGAACCCTCGGCCCATGGCAGTGAAAGCCTGAGCCCTAACCACTGGACAGCCAGGGAATTCCCCAGTGGCTTGTTGAATAATAACTATCATTCATGAAGTTACTGTATACTACTGCTATCCCCATCTCATAGATTGGGAGAAAGAGGCACAGAAATGCTGAGGAACCTAGGCGAGGGTAGATCTGGGGTTCAGGACAGCTTCAGAAGAAGCTGGGTAGCATATGTTCTGCTCACAGTGACCCTGCATGAAAAAGGAACTGGAGACAATTAAATTTTCCCTGTAGAGGTGTGTATGTGAGGGTTAGGGGAGAGCAATGACACTTGGGGTTTTCTCTGAATTGTGATGCCCCAACAGTACAGACTAGCAGCTGTGAAGCTCTTGGTAAAATGTAGGGCTTGTGAGTGCCACCTTCTGGAATGAAAGATAATGTCACTGTGCCAGTGACCCAGGTGGCAAACAAGGCACATCATATTTGTGGGTAATAAGGAGCTAGAACAGCAGCTTCATTAGTTGGCAAAATGAGTATACAAAAAGATCTCAATAGGCAGGAATGATAAACTTCATCTTAGAAGTTCGATAATAGTGTAAAATTGTATCTTTGGACTTGCAAAACCAATTCTTGTATAAAGTTGGAAAAATGTAGCATGTCTAGAAGCAGAGATACTCTTTGCTGATAGTGCTAAAACCCTATATGAAGTTCTGTTTTAGGTGTCTAAACTTTTTAAGATGATTACAAATAGAATATGTTCATAGAAAGTGATATGGATGGTGAAGGGACTTAAAACTGTCATATAGAAACTTCTAAAACAATGTCAAACCCAAAGAATCAAAGACTCAAGCAAGACAAAGCTATTTGAAGATTACTGGATGGATGGCCTCAAGAGAGAAGATTAGGATCAATGGATGATGTCCAAGAAAGAAGACAGGTTGTAATTCAGAATGTGCCCTTCAGAGCTTTAAGGAAGGGGTGTTGTATGGTGGCAAGAATGCGTGCATGTGACTGCTCAGTTGTGTCTGACTCTGACCCCGTGGACTGTAGGCCGCCAGGTTCCTTTGCCTATGGGATTTTCCAGGTGAGAATGCTGGAGTGGGTTGCCATTTCCTTCTCCAGGAGATGTTCCTGATCCAGGGGTTGAACCCATGTCTCCTGTATGGTAGGCGGATTCTTTACCTTTTGAGCCATTGGGGTTTCCCAGGTGGAAGGAAAAGCAGTTTTTAAAAAGTTTGAAAAGAAAATATACACAACCCGATTTTTATATCATAGTAAAACCTGCTGGAGAGGGGATGTGTAGAAGCAATCAATTTCTCTGGTGAACCCAGCAACATAAATGCTGGAAGTCTTCTAACATGATGATGCTATTCATATTACCTCATTCTGATAGTGTTCTGTTGCCCACTAGTTGCCATCTCTACACATTCATCTACCTCATGAATCAAGGGTCAAATCTCTACAATGTTTTTTGGTCATGTCTGCCACGGTTTAATTTCAATAACTTTCTTCCATGAAATTTTTTTTTTTTTTTTTACAAATCAGAAAGGTGAACTTGGCTCATAGAGTCTACTCAGTGAGCTCAAAGATACCTCCAGAGAATAAAACTTATGGTTTTGTGACCCCATGGACTGTAGGTCTTCAGACTCCTCTGTCCATGGAATTCTCCAGAAAAGGATGCTGTAGTGGGTTGCCATTTCCTTCTAAAGGGGATCTTCCCGACCCAGGGATGGAACCCCTTGCATTGCAGCCAGATTCTTTACCGTTCCCATCTGAGCCGCCAGAGAAGCCCTATTTTATTTGTGAAAGTGAAAGTCACTCAGTCGTGTCCGACTCTGTAACCCCATGGACTATACAGACCATGGATTTCTCCAGGCCAGAATACTGGAATGGGCAGCCTATCCCTTCTCCAGTGGATCTTCCTGACCTAGGAATTGAACCAGGATCTCCTGCATTGCAGGCAGATTCTTTACCAACTGAGCTACCATAAAAGAAGCCAAAGCACCTAACCTCGTTTGATTCTGAACATAGACTAGCATTTCTTTGGTCCAGGTCTGTGACATCCCTGTGGAGAAAGAAATTCAGACAACTGAGTCAGTGGGAACGTCTGGATTAGCATAAGGGCTAAATCCCTGGAGCCTGCAGGAAAGGAGTGAATGGAAAGCCAGATTTTTTTAATGTTGAATTTTAAGCCAGATTTTTCACCAACATTCTTTTTTTTAAAGTTAATTTATTTTTTATTGAAGGATAATTGTTTTCAGAATTTTGTTGTTTTCTGTCAAACCTCAGCATGAATCAGCCACAGGTATACATACATCCTCTTTCACCAGCATTCTCACCTCTTGGTATTTAAGTGCTAGCCCAATGAAAATGAGAAGAGAGATGGGGGACGGACCCCAGGCCTTGAAGCATGCGTTTTATTGGCGTGTGGGCCATAGAGGCAGTGGAACCGGGTACAGGGCTGAGAAAACTGAGCAGCCTCCTTCACTTCCTCTGGGGTGTTGAGTCCTTCCCAGGGGGCTGGGCCCCTGGGATTTCAGCGCTCTTCCTATCTGAGCCCAGCTCACAGTTTAAGTGTTGAGGTGGCCGGTAAAGAGCACATTGAAAGCTTCCTTGGGGAGACATCAACCTATAGAGGAAAGGCTGAATGCTGAGAATGAGGCCCATTTATCCCGGTCTGGAAGGAGCCTGGCAACAGCAGTGTGGCCATAGGGACAAACAAGGAGCAGGGACAACCCCTAAGGCTCCAGGCATCTCTCTCGCCTTTTTCCACCTATATTTTGACAACACTCCTAAGAGACGTGTGACCTAAGTCTGTTTACGCAGAGAACACTTGAAGTCTACCTTGCAGGGGAAGAAAAATCATTTCCCCACTACCCTCCTAGGTTCTTTAGTTGGGGTCCTGCATTAGAGTGACAAAAGACAATATGGACATACACAGCATAACAAATGAATAATAAAGTTTTAGTGAAATGACCAGACAAAAGGAAAAAGACTTTCCAGGGTGGCAAATTGTAGGGAAGTAAGTATATGGGAGGGGAGAAGGCAATGGCAACCCACTCCAGTACTCTTGCCTGGAAAATCCCATGGGCAGAGGAGCCTGGTAGGCTGCAGTCCATGGGATCGCGAAGAGTTGGACACAGACTGAGCGACTTCACTTTCAATTTTCACTTTCCTGCACTGGAGGAGGAAATGGCAACCCACTCCAGTGTTCTTGCCTGGAGAATCCCAGGGACGGGGGAGCCTGGTCTATGGGGCCGCACAGAGTTGGACACGACTGATGCGACTTAGCAGTGGCCGCAGCAGCAAGTATATGGGAGAAACTAATGGTACATGAATGTTAAGTTCGTTATATAGATTTTTTCTTGTGCCGTCTCTGGGCTAAAGGCTAGAGTTGTCTCTGGTGATTAACTTCTGTCCTTTCTGGAAAAGGTGAAGGAGCACCTTAATAAATTTATGTCCTGCTTTTAGGCAAATAGGGAAAGAGCAGAGGGCTTTTCTTGAATCCACTACTCACTCTCTTCAGTTTTAAATAATCAATACGCCAAAGTGGCATATTTTGGGGTGGCATATTCTACTATCCTTCAGTATCTATTTTTGGAGGGGAGTTGTTGATGTTCAGTTGCTCAGTCATGTCTCACTCTTTGCAGCGCCATCTACTGCCTCATGGTAAGCCTCCCTGTCCTTCAATAGCTCCTGGAGTTTGCTCAAACTCATGTCCATTAAGTCAATAATGCCATCTAACTATCGCATCCTCTGCCCCTTTCTCCTCCTGCCCTCAATCTTTCCCATCAGCAGGTTCTTTCCCAATGAGTCAACTCTTTGCATAGGTGGCCAAAGTATTGGTGCTTCAGCTTCAGCCTCAATCCTTCCAATGAATATTCAAGGTTGATTTTCTTTAGGATTAACTGGTTTGATCTCCCTGCTGTCCAAGGGACTCTCAAGAGTCTTCTAGAATACCACTGTTCAAAAGCATCAATTCTTCAGGGCTCAGCTTTCTTTATGGTCCAACTCTCACATCCATACATGACCACTGGAAAAACCATAGCTTTGATTAGATGGACCTTTGTCAGCAAAGTGACATCTCTGCTTTAAGTTCATGGTTGCAGTCACCCTCTGGAGTGATTGTGAAGCCCAAGAAAATAAAGTGTGTCACTGTTTCCATTTTTTCCCCATCTACTTGCCATGAGGTGATGGAACTGGATGA